AAGTATATAATTCATGGATTTTATATAATTGCCAGGAGATTTAGAAAATGACAAGCTGGTTTAGGAAATATGTAGAATAATTTATAAAGTGATGACTAAACCATAATTACATCTATGAAAACGTGTAGGCAGTTTGCTAAAATTAGTGTAAAACTTGTAACCATCAACGAATTTGCAAGGTTGTAAGAAATATCTTCTATACCCTTAACTACTGGTGGACAGCAATTGAATCTAGGTCCTCTGCCTCCTTTTACTCCTGCTTCTTCTCCTAATATCTCTAAATAGCTCTTTATATCTACCTCAGAGTCCACCCAGACACAGTGTATGCGCCGATAGAGTTTCTGTGACAGATCTTATTTAAATAGAATATCAGAAAAATCTTCTATGAGTTTTAACCCGCCGAATACGAATATCGAGGTTGCATCTTTGAATAAATATTGCCTTAATTTAATTAAAAAAAAGTCTCATTACATTTTTTCGTTTAGGAGATAAATCTAATTTAATATTAAAAAACAAAAACAAAAAAAAAACAATTTGAAGATTTTCAGTCTGTTTGCACATTGCGAATTTTTAATATCATTTAATTATTAATTAATTGAAAAGACATTCGATCGATGTAGGGTGGGTTTCGTAAAAATTAAATCCGCGAGGTTGGGAAACTGAGTGGGAAATACTTTATTGTATGAGTTTGGTCAATACTTTTTCTTGTCAAATCGAGTAAATTTTTTAAAACTTTAGGGCCAAGGCCAGGGGTACGCCAGGGTAGGCTGCAATAAAGTTAAATAAAATTGTGGTAGTAAACCCCGTCTGGTCTGCGCATGTCAAACAATCCCTTCACTTTCAAGATAGACTCAATATAAACCCAATCACGAATAGTACTTGTGATTGACGAAAACCGAATCATTAAACAGGACCGTATTTAAAACTAAAGACTGAAAATAAAATACCACATGGATACAAAAATTTGAAATAATGTACATTATATTTGCGATACATTAATTACCTGTATATTATGTACATATTTATTTTTGTACGTTAGAATTTACTTCATTATTAATTTTTTATTTTACATGAAAATCTAAATGGCGATCTCTTACAATGACAAATATTCATTTAGAATATTATTAAATACCTTTTACTGACCTTTAACTATTTCTGTCCAAAAAGAATCATTAGAAAGGTTAAAAACAACACTGTAGGTAATAGAAAATACTACAAATGGCGCAGTAAACGCCATCTGTAGCACGATGCTACATTTTAGGATTATTGAATTATGAAATATTAATTCTGATTTAATACAAGATATCGATTGAGATGAAGATTAAATCACTTGAAATATTTATACATAATTAAAAAAAAGGCATCAAGATCCACTTAAAGGCTGAATACTACCCTGTAATATTTCGGTAGGCGCAAGCATGAACCACTGCGTTGGAATCTCCCTATAAAGACTGCGCGTCCACGTGGTTACTACTTTGTGATTAGGCGTCCATGTTTGTTTTGGTTTGATGTATCTTGGAAGCGAACGGAGTGTATTTTTTATACAATATTTCGCTGATACAACGGCGAACATACGGAGTAAAGGTGGTAGATGTGCAATAGAATTAAATTTCATACCACTTTTACGGTTAAAAGGTAGGTGGCAAGGGATGAAAAATCGTACTGAATTTTTCATGAAATTCGTACTTTTACAGCGCTTCTTGAATAAAAGATGGCTCATCTGTTTGAAAGTACACGTTATATTTGGATAAATCTTATATTACGATACAATAAAACGTTACTTGCATTCATTCGCTCATTTCTACGTTCAATTCTGTCGCCGTCGCCACCACCACCACCACCTTCACCCCCGCGCCGCTTTCACATTCTTTCGGAGCTTAGCCTTAAGAGGTCGTTTAACCTCATTATTCATGAAGAACTGCATGCGACTTTATTGATTTCTGTAGCACCAGAAACCTAAAAATATCACGACCCTTTACCTCTTACCTCAACTCAGTAAAGAACACCTTGTAATATTTTAAATACGATAATTGAAGATAGAACTGATACGATCAAACTCTGACTCATTCAACATATTACTGTGACCAAGAACTTTCATTTTGTTAATGAATTTAATCGATCACGTCATAACAAAGAAAGCGAATGACATTGAGGGAAGATCCCCCTGGATGAATTTTTGAATTTAATTCAATTTTAGCAGTTATTTTGTATACTAATCAGTTGGCAGCCTTGTTGGCGAAACGGAAACCGAAAGGTTATTTTTCACAAGTCAGTTCAAGTTTGTACGTAGAATAATGGTCTGGACCGTAGTAAATCGCATTTTGCATAAATTACGAATTTATATGGGAATTTAATGTCAACTCGGAATTTCTTTAACGTTTCTCGTGCGTCGGCGCTTAAAATCTCTAAATATTTCACTCTATGATTTCCCAATTCATTTATAGCAAAAATCGGCCCGATACAGTGTAAGGCAAATTAATTCGGGATTGAAATCTCGAAGGCCACAATTCAAGCAAGCGTTCCTGTTAAGCAATATGTCATAGTTCCTTCAGGAATTTCCAGTAATTAAATAACGACGTACAACAAACAAACTCACATCATCATCAAAAGGTCGCCGCTAGTCCTATGACTGTTTGGACACGCATCTCCACCCTTTCCTATCCTCAGCTAATCTTCGCATTTCCCTAAAACGAGAACAACCCATATCCCTAACTATTTGCGAACAGTAATCTAATCTAGGTCTACCTCTACCCCTCCTAACTCCTGCTTCTGCCTCTAATATGTCTCTGACTAGACATTTATGCCTGAGAAGGTGTCCTACCAACCTATCTCGCCTATTTTTTATTGACTTCCATAGAGTCTTTTGTTCTCCTATTCTTTCTAATAACTCTTCATTTCTAACCTTCTCTATTCACGGTATCCTCATAATTCACCTGTAATACCACATTTCGAACGCTTCTAACCTTTTCTTTTCCGCAGCCCCCACCGTCCATGTTTCACACCTGTACAGCTTCGCGCTCCAAACATACACCTTCAACAACCTTTTTCAAATTTCTAAATTAACCGTTTGCGAGCATAGAAGTAACACCTTTTTATTAAATGCGACTCGACCCTGCGCTATCCTCTGCTTTATATCCCTACTATTACCGTCCTGACTAACCAACTTCCTAGATACCTAAAATCAGCCACTTCATCTAATATTCGCTCTTTCCCTACTTTTTCTTCCTCTGCGTACCAGTATTTTTATTTCTCATACAATACTGTTTTGCCAATATTGCTTCCATTTTATTTAAAGCCATCTCTAACTCCTCCTAGCTAGATGCTATTACTTCTAATATCATGTACAAATCTAAGCATACTAATCTTTTCGCCCCTGTATATCTATCCCTACAGTTGTACTGTCTTTAATGATGTTGATCACGTCTTCGATGTATAGATTAAAAAGTAGCGGTGACAGTGTGCATCCGTGCCTGAGTCCCTTTCTAATATTTACTTCTATCACTCTAAAAAATTAAAAGTCAGCATACTTGACCACCCCTGCAGCTTGTTTTTCATTTACTTGGATATGCATAATGAAACTATTAATTGGGCTGACTTAACAATGGATGATTTTTGTTAATACAATATTATAATTACGGTTTTGGTTGTGACAATGACGACTGATTTTGATAATGTTATTCCGCGCTCTCGGCCTTCCTTGACGTTTGTTTGTGTCAGCACCAGATGCGTGCAATTCATCCACCGAATGGTACCTGAGTGAATGAGTGGCGTAGAAGGGGTGGCTATGAAACGTGTTAATTAACACGGAGCTTTGTGTGTCTCTGAATCTCTAGGTAGTATCATCGTAATAATTTCCAAATCCCGTAGATTTACTGCCTAAATTACCATTAGTACTACTAGCTATTAATCACCTTAATATTAACTTCTGTTAATTTAATTAAGACGTTAATCATAATAACATATTTACCAGCTGCCACCGACCCTTATTCAAATGTCACCCTAATTTAAATCGTATGTGCCTGTAAATACATTTAGTCACTCCATACGTCAAAGTGGTTTGTGAAATCTAGACAATTTATATTGAGAATATTTCTAAATTATCTGTTTTCTGCATAATCTGTATATTTCGAGGAGATTTGTCAACACTGAGTTGCTATAAAATCATTTACTCTAAGACCTGATAGATGACACCTATCGGCGTTTGTATCAGATCACTTGCAGATCAGCAGATTTATTAATGCTTTTTGTGGGGAGTCAGAGTTAGATTAACTATTTGGTCAAGCAATTAATTTAATTACGTTATGGAGTATTAAATAGTAAAAAAGAACAATTTGACCACAGAGATTTTTTATTCTTTTGAGTGGATCAAAATTGGGATGAAGAGGGGTTTTTCGTGATAAAGAGGAGAGAGGATTTGCACTATATTACATAAAATTCCATGAACTCTGCCCAAAATAGAGTATTTGTGTTGTTTTGTACCCTTTAGTATGCATTTTCGAGCTTCCATGCACGCAGCCTGAAACTGCTAATTGAACCTGTCCAGATTTGAATGATCGATACATGCAATTTACGGAAAACTTTTACTCAAATAATACTGTAAACGCCAAAATTTTAAGGTTAGAATATACTAGTCAAAGTGAACACCGAATATAGCCAAAATTGTAAGGTTAAAATATGGTACTCAAAGTGAACACCGAATATAGACATTTACCTAAATCTGCTCACTTTATCGCAATCGAAAACATCCATTTCGAATACGTCAAAATGATCAAATAATCCCATAATACTGTGCTATTAGAAGAGATAGATACCTACAGTTTGATTACAAGACAATAACTCATTTTTTGCCGTTTTTATTCCCTAATATTTTTTAAGTCGGATAAAATATTACGAAGTCGTATCCTCTAAAACGTTAAATCGATCGCTTTTACGGTATTTTACGCAAATTTTTCAGTTTTTTTTAATGTAAACATAGGTATATATTCTACCGAGTGTTTTACCTTCAATGAAATCTTTGGGTCCTTTTCTTATGAGTATTCGTCGACCATCTTCTCTGCTCCAGCTTATTCTAGGACGAGGCTTTCCGGTCGCTCTGCAAGATAACGTCGTATTTTCTCCTTCCAACACCGAGATGTCCCCACTCGTTTCATCATTTATTATGTCAGGAGGAACTGAAACAATTAATAACCGTTAAAATGTTTGATACGTATAGACAGTAATTTGAAAAGCAGAAAAGTATACAAACATGTTCCAATTTTTCACCAAATTTATCAGATTTGAGATAAGGATTGATTATTTGGATGATGACTTTGATAAGGGGTGTAAGAAAATACGACAGACATTCAAAAAAAAAACTTTTGGGTGTTCCAACCCACCAGCTACTAATGCTGGACGGGCAGTCCCTCTGGAGGGTAAGGCAGAAGGACCTCTCAGCCTCCCTCTAGAAACATAGGGAATGTGTGGATGGTGGTTGGAGTGAGGAAGATGAGACAGACCAAATGAAGACATGAAATATTACTGTCCCAGCATTTACTTAAGTGATCCAAGGAAGTCACAGAAAAACTTGAACCAGGGCCAGACGGACCCGAAATCGAACCGATGTCCTTCCTAATGCTAAGCAATAGTAAGCTCGGTAAAAATTCAGAACGAAATAGGTTTATACTTATTTTGAAACACTAACAAAATCGTTCAAAATGTTTAAAGCTCCTTAAATTATTAGAAAGTCATACTAACAACCTAATTTGTTTTCTGAAAATCAGAAAGAGCCTTGAACTTGCGTACAGGTCAACTAGGTTTGTGTTAATAATACAAATAATGTTTTTTTTTGGTAAGCCAAAAGAATAAATTGAGTGCTGTGAGAGGCTGGAAGGAGTTGTTATCGGGTCTGTAAGGCGATGTTACTGGGGAGTGGGTAATATAAAAGTCCAGTACGACATGACCTAGAGATTTAGACCATTGTTTAGTATTCGGGAGGAGGTCCAAGTTTTTCTGTGGTTTCCTTAGATCACATATGTAAATACTGGGTCAGTCATCATCAATTTCCCTAAAACTAGAACAGCCCACATCCTTAACTATTTGCTAACAGTAATCTAATCTAGGTCTACCTCTACCCCTCCTAACTCCTGTTTCTGCCTCTAATATGTCTCTGACTAGACCTTTATGCCTGAGAAGGTGTCCTACCAACCTATCTCGCCTATTTTTTATTGACTTCCATAGAGTCCTCTGTTCTCCTATTCTTTCCAATACCTCTTCATTTCTAACCTTTTCTACCCACGATATCCTCATCATCCGCCTATAACACCACATTTCGAAGGCTTCTAACCTTTTCTTTTCCGCCGCTCCCACTGTCCATGTTTCGCACCCGTACAACGCCGTGCCTTTAGCAATCTTTTTCGAATTTCTAAATTAACCGTTCGCGAGCATAGAAGTGACTTCTTTTTGTTAAAGGCGACACGACCCTGCGCTATCCTCTGCTTTATAACCCTACTACTCCTTCCATCCTGACTTATCTGACTTCCTAGATATCTAAAATCAGCCACTTCTTCTAATTTTTCGTCTCCTATCGTTATATTTGCTCTTTCCCTACTTTTTCTTCCCTTGCCAGTAATATTCCATAATTCCACAGATAATCTTTCATTCTCTTCTTCATTTCGTCCCAAACCCAAACCACCACCCACCGATTCCCACGATTCCTGAAAGAAGGCTAAGAAGGGTCTTCCGCCCCACCTTCCGGCGTAGTCCGGAGGGACTGCCCCCCCCCGCCAGCATTACTAGCTGGTTAGAATGAAACACCCCAAACTTTTTTTAGAACAGACTTACGTTCGTACTAATGTGCAACGTACAGCTTCGAAAGAAGAATATTGTTACACAACATGACTTTATCAGTAATTTTTGCGCAGTTTAAATTCCGACATATTGATTCTGTTGTAAATTCCGAACACCCGGTATTTACTTGTCTGACCATCGTTCCCTTCCTCAGCAATCGCTGAATAATTAATTAATTGATCAAGTAGCCACGGGTCCGTTTGTGGCTCGTATTTCTACATCGAGTTAGCTGTGGGACCCCGTTTACTGGTTAACACCTCGAGCAATGGCCAATAAATCCGCCTATACAATTGGAAACTGCTGAGAGACAATAGAACGCCGCGCCGCCTGCTTGATTCTCCGTTATGCGACCTATGTACGTCCGGCACGAACCATTTTCGGAAATCGTAAAAACAATAGGGCGGCATAAACGTGGGTATAGTCGAATCCGCTCTTATCCTGCAGGTCAACAGTTCGCTAACTTAAAAGTCAAATCGAAAAACACTGGAACTACAAAAATTTTAATGTTATCCCTGAAGTTGTCTTCAAATATTGCAATGCTATTAACAAAACTTAAATGGCCTACCGACTATCCCGAGTAGAATTTATTTTGGGAATTTCCCAACTCCAATTGGGTCCCTATTGGAGATTGTTGGATTTGTCCAAACTGGGCATTTCCCACCTATATCCAATAAATTTTGATCTGCGTATTTTAGGGCAATACCAAACTTTACCCGAACTGCACTTCTGAACTACAATCTTATTGAAGAATAATTAATAATTGTTTAATTTATAAATAATAAATAGT